CAATAATCATATTATAACCACAGTTGGTTTTATTCATTTTATTATCATCTTCTATGTGTACGTGTTTGTTCTAATTAAAAAAAATTGAAGTGTATTTACTTCTCTTTTTTTGTTTTAATAGTAAAACCAATATGGAAGAAAATGAAAAAAAAACTGCATAGAAACACTGGACGTTTATATATATATATATATATATATATATATATATATATATATTGTTTCGAAGAGAAAACATTTTTATTTAACAAAAAAACCATCAATGAATCAATAAAAGTGATAAATAAATAATGAGGTGAATCGATTTTTTTTTGGTTGTTGTTGTTGTTGTCAAGTCAATGTATTTGAAGATGATAAAATTAAGAAAAAGAGAAACAGAAAAGAGAAGAAACAAATAGTTGATTTTATGGATTCATTTTAATAAAACATTAATTAATATTCAATGTTTCAATATGGAACTCTTATTCAGTCTGTATACAAAACTTTATTAAGAATTCAATTTAAAAGATTGATATTCAATTGGTTAGCTTGTAGATGATGATGGGATGGTGATTAACAGTGGAATAAAGGATACATTAATTAGAATTGACAGAATTTTGAAGTTTATGTTTATTTCAGAACTCAAACCCAGTACTGGTAGTATGTTACACTAGTAACTCGACTAGCTTTTGCTAACTTGGGTCAATTATATAGTAGGCGAGATATCCGCTTCTACTAAATAAAAAAACGGGTTTACTGCGCAGCCGTTCGTTCCGTTCTACTTTATGGCAGTGAAACATGTTCGGTAAGAGTGGAGGATATTTGTAGGTTACTAAAATTCGATCATAGGCGTCTTCGAAACACTGCTCGTATATCCTGGGACCATCAATTAGGTAATGCAGTTGTTAGGAAATGGGTACTAGGTAAGAATGGCAAATCAATTGAAGTAGTGAAACTTAATCAGTTCAGATGGCTGGGACATATGTTACGTATGCAGAACCCAAATACCGACTACCCCGACGTGCGATGTCTTATGGTATAGCAGTAGGTTGGAGGACAGCTAGGGGCGGCCACACCAAAACATGGCACAAATCCATGGAGTCACTGACAAGTGGACTGAGCCATGTTGGTAGCTGGAGATTATCTGGTTGGAATCCGTCAGACGAAAGCAACCTATGGTTAGAGATCTTGAATGACATGGCTCAAAATCGATTGCAATGACACAGGTGCATCCACTGATTCTGTTTACTCAAACTCTCATCTTCTAAATTCTTCATATCCCTTTGTTTTTTCTCTATCCAAATTTATTTCACTGTATTATACTCCTTGAATAACATCTTTAAACGTTAATCTTTCTGATTACTTCTTATACTTTTACTATCTCTACCACTACGGGATTTGAATCGACAACTGCATCTCTGTGCTAATGTGGCATGGCAACTTGAACTGATGTACGTACGTACGAAGTTCCACGTTGTTGCTGAATGATCTTAGTAACTTGGGATCTTATCAATTGTTGAGATTAAACTATAAAATTCTGTAAATTTCACCCATCACTCTAAAGCCTAGCTCTAATACATGAGAGAACAACGGAGATACACACCATTCTCATCAAACTGATTCCATCTAACAATGAACTGAATTAGTCTTGACAAAGTTTTGTCGACTGCATCTCATTAAATATGTATTTCTAACAAACACAGATAGGTTATTGTTAGAAATGAGGAAACGACTGAATATGAAAAACAAAGGAGACCTATTTTCGGGAAAATCTCTTAGAACATTTTCTAGGTGTAGCTATTAAAAATATGATTCATAATATGTTTGCATTTGCTAAATCGTAAGCTTTCATTTGTCACATTACCTGCTGTGATATTTCTTGTTGTCCTACATTACAATCAATGAATTAAAAACCTATCACTTGGTTTTACAACATAAATCCCTTAGTGATGTACATTAGTCACTAACCATAAAGTAGTGTACTGCCAGAGAACACTAAAGGTCCTGACTTGTATAAAATGGTGGGAAACAAGTATTGTTGAAAAATCGTAAACTTAAATCAAGCAGTTGCCTACGTTTAACTTAATTTTATCAATATACACTGTTCTTTTGAATCAGATTCCAAAATTTTAAGTTCATTAACGTAAAGACAGTTTCCAACATTCAACATAAAAATAACATAGGGGTTTTGTGGATATTATAGTAATTTCAATGATTAAGATCATGAGTCAGTTGAAGCTAGATCACTATGGAAAACCTGGAAGCACTGGATGGCCGTTTCGTTCTATCGTGGGACTCCTCAGCAGTGCGCATCCACGACCTCACCCCCTGCGAGATTCGGACCCACGAGCTACTGGTTTCACTAGTGACTGGCTTCAAGAGGTATATCCTAGAGTTCTATTGAGAAGTAGTGACCAGTGGAGTTCAACCAGGTCTGTTGTGAGATACTAACTCATTGAAGACAATGGTGGATATGTCGCTCGATTTCGTGGATTAGTTGGAGGTAGACATTAACACCGTTTGATGCCAGCTCCGTGGTCCAGTGGTTAAGTGTTCGCGCGCGAAACCAGTAGGTCCAGGATTGGAATCTTGCACAGGATGGGATCATGGATGCGCACTGCTGGAGAGTCCCACAATAGGACGAAACGGCCATCCAGTGCTTCCAGATTTTCCATGGTGGTCTAGCTTCAACTGACTCATGATGTTAACCATTGAAATTACTATAATATCTACAAAACCCATATGATAAAAATAATACTTTAGAAAGCAAGTAAAATAATCATTAATTAGAAACTTGATTAGAAATAGTCAAGCAATGGAAGCGAACGATGACTTCGCTCATTATTTTTATGGCGAATTGTAAATATTAGTGTCAGTGTGTTTTGGAATTAATTGAAAACTAACCTTGAATTAAGTTGGACCAAATATTTGGTTCCAAAATGGTACATAAAACCAGTTAGCTTACATCACTACTCCACAGAGAATAATAGAAAACACCAAAACCCAAAATGATGAAATTGGTAAATATTAAACCATGACTACAATTCGGATAGATGCTTTGAAAAGAGCGGCAGATGATTAAAAGAGATATTTGAATTCAAGCTTCAGTTACGAACAGAAAGTAACATAATGACTAGTAATTGGATTTGGTGTTCGATAGAGATAGGTTATGGCTTCTGCAAAGTTGGTCATGTTTATCAAAACTACGACAAGTAAGTCTCTATTAGCCACCTAAACAACCTTCCTATACATTTGAATGTACTGAAATCACGAACTAGCACTGTAACATCTTTTGGACGCGGAATTTAGCAGATGATGAAATAAGCGATAAAAACATACGCTTTATTAAACTCAAAGCTCAATTATTCGGAATATGGACTAAAGGATACACTAAACTAATGAATTAATACCATGATAGCATAAATTGAAGGTAGCAAAAACATGATTCCCAATACATAAATCAAAACGGACAGTGGGTGATATTGGATCATATTTTGTAGCATAAAGCTAACGATATGAAAACTAGGACCAACACTAATGCCTAACCGTAATCTAAAAAAGGACAGTGGGTGATATTGGACCATATATTTTTGTAGCATAAAGCTAAGATATGAAAACTAGGACCAACACTAATGCCTAACCGTAATCTAAAAAGGCCATTGTATATTAAGAAGTATCATTCTTTTTAAAAGTGCCTTTTTAAGTAGAGATGGACGGTGGCTAGCAGTGAAAACTAGGACGCGTGTTTCGTCCTAAACATCAGTGAGAAAATTCAAACAATCGATACATATAAATTAAAATTCACCCGACTGCATGAGCCGGTGGTTATCTGGAATCAGTGGATGTCGCGTTAGCTTGTGATGAAATCGGTATTTGGTTCACGTTCCAGAATGAACATCAAATCTGACATCCAGGTATATCCGCCAAATAACGAGTCCTAAATGCGATGAAACGCACATCTTCAACTGCACTGGGAGTCACTATTCATCTCTGCCTATAATGCGTGTGACTTGTAATCATTACCTTTATTCTATATTATATTTTTGGTACAATATAGAATTCTCAGCAGAAACAATAAAACAGATAACTTATTGAAATATCCAGATGGCAAGAAGAGATATGTCTGATATTAAATCAGACTGCCTTGGAAGATTATTGAGTTAAAACATAAGGAATGTATATATTCCAAAGAGAACTGATCAATTGGGGTCCCAAACAACCGATACAAATGAATTATACACGAGTTCCCTTTACTCAACTAAATGACCAACAATATTCACTATTTATCCTTGTCCAAGATGCACGTGTTCAACTTACTTTTTATCTGGTTAGCGTTTTTTTTCAGAGTTGGTTTTTTACGGGGTGGGATCGTTAACCCCATGTCCAACCCTCCTCCTTTATCCGAGCTTGGGACCGGCAGTAGCCCCAGAGAGGCTCCAAACGGAGTCTTCAATAGTGAACACAAAAAACAAACAAACATAGAAAACAAATTTCATAAACCAACCCCCCTCCTTTATCCGAGCTTGGAACCGGCAGTAGCCCCAGAGGGGTTCCAGCTGGAGTCTTCAACAGTGAACATAAAAAAACAAACATAGAAAATAAATTTAATAAACTGTTATAGATTTATTGATCTTTTTACACAGAACGGAGAGTAGATTAAAACAAACAAAAAAAAAAGAAAACGAGAAAATCAAAAAAAGCAAAATCATTTAAAATAGAATCATTTATATGAAAACAGATGAAGAAAAGAAAAAAAAAAGAAAAACTGAGAGTAATGAAGTAACAATTTCTGTATAACTCTAAATGTGAATTGTGCGTATTTTCATATAAGATCAAGGTTAATGTTGCTTGATTCTTTTCTTTTAACACATTCGTTGTACACTAAAGAAACTGAATAATTATCCATCAATAGTTTTGTATGTGTGTGTGTGTGAGAGAGAGAGAGAGAGCAGTAAAGTAACTGAGATGTCAATATACAATATACAAACTATAAACGGGGAGAGGGGGTGAAAAAAAGTTCAATTTCAACGTGAACATGCAATTTCAGTAAAATAATTTTGTAAATCTGTTATAGTAAATTCAAGATGTATACCTGAATCTGGATAACATTGTTGAATTAAATTACTAAAACGTAAACATTGTGTAATAAATTCTGTTTGTATTGATCTCCAAACAACCTAAAATTAAAATAATTAAAACAACAATAATTACAACATAATAGGGAAAAAAGAAATTACTAGTTGAACTCTATGTGTGCCTCAAAATGCCCTAGTACAGCAGAGAGTGGGGAGAGTCTGCTCTCTCTCTCTCTCCAAATGCTCTCACATGGCCACGCGTATATATCCTCTGCCAGGGAAGTCCTACTCACTGTCTTCTCACACCACGGGTGTTGTTTACGAAAATGACAGGACAAAAACCGAATGTCCGGCACTTTAACCGGATCCCAAATCAATGGTGCACATGGACTGGCTCCAGTATCCTGAAGGAACAAATGGTGCATGAACCAATCGTTGGTAACCGGCTACCATGGGACTGCATCTCCTCACGATGCTCCACTGCCTTGTGGGTCAGACGTTCAGGTCGAAGGCTCGGGGTGTGGCCCCCTAAGAAAACCACGTGGTTCGGTTTGGGCACCCGAGCAGTATCACAGCCCTCACACAAATCAATTGAGATTTGTGTGGCGCATATATATTTGGTGCCTCCTTGTACCAATATCTATGTGTTAAAATAAAGAAATAAGAACTCTGTGTGTACGACAGAATTTCCAATGAATCCAATGTAAACTAACTAAGCAAGATAGTGAATGAAGTCTTAAACTTTGAATCTGATACGAATCAAATGGAAAGGATTAGTTCCAATCACCACAAGAGAGTATAATCAGACATAAGTACTTATCTCCTAGGTGTAAACGATCATATTCTTAGATCAACAAGACCATACAGATTGTTAGGTATTCCAAGAAAAAAATATCCTTCCATAATTTTAGAAAGATGAAAGTAACAATAGCCTATCAATATCATTGACAATCACTTGAGATTACATTGACTAACAAGTTTTATTTGTCATTTACGGTTTATGAAACAAAGAATTTAGTTTTACAATGTAGTTAATACAACTGGTAATATAGTTTAAAGATAAATGGAGAGAGGATGAACAAAAATAGATGTTCGTAGTGATACAAATATTTTATAATTTGCATCGATAGCATCATCTATATTCAGCAACCATTAAGTTGTTGTTGTTGTTGATTGCCATTTAAACCATTTCAAATGCATAACAGAAAGAAATGATGATCTTTTCAATATAGATATTATAATTATAACTATGATTGGTGTTAGTAAATTTGTTAACTCTTGCTTCTCTCTCTTATGCATATACACATACATACATAGATACACACACACACACAAAGACATATACCTTGATTATCTACACATGATGATATAAATTATGGACATTGGGAATGATAAATAGAAAATACATAGACACATATACTTACAGGGAATAAGTTTTCTTCATCAGATAAATGTTTTTCAACTTTTTTACATAAACTTTCCAGACCATGTTTTACCTTAGATTTTATGCGATCATGACAGGACAATTGAAATAAAGAAAGAAAAAGAGAAAAAAAACATACATCAAGGTTTTATTTATACAATGTCATGTAATATTATTCAATTAGACATTTCACATTACTTGGAACTTATGTAATTCCAATAGTTGAAATCATGAGTCAATTAAAGCTAGACCACCATGGAAAACCTGAAAGCACTGGACGGCCGTTTCGTCCTATTGTGGGACTCCTCACCAATGCGCATCAACGATTCCGCCCCCTGAGAGATTCGAACACAAGACCTAACAGTCTCGCGCGCGAGCACTTAACAACTAGACCACTGAGTCAGTATCCAACGGTGTTAATGTCTAACTTCAACTAATCCACGAAATTGCGTCACCATACACCATTGTCTTCAGTGGGCTGATATCTCACAAGAGACCTGGTTGAACTCCACTAATAACGACTTGACACTAAAACTCCGGGAAATAGCTCTTAAAGTCAGTCACTAGTGAGCAGATGATTATTATTCGATAAATGCCCTGATACGACCGACTATGGGGAAAGTCAGCTCTTCTCTTTCAAATGATCTCACATGGACACGCGTATACAATAACTAACAGGGAAGTTCTACTAATTACCTTCTTGCGTCAAGGGTGTTTACAAAATTGAGAGAACGGAAAGCAAATATCCGATGGAGGCTTTAACCGAGTTGGTAGATACGGAGAGTCCATCTAGGGGAGTTGGAAAACCGTCATTCATAACCAATGGTGCACATGGGCTCCAGTATCCTGAAGCAACAAATCTCGTACGAACCAATTATTGGTCACTGTCTACCGTGGGACTGCATCTCGTGACGTTGCTCTCTTGCCTTCAGGTCTAAGAAAACCACCTGTTTCAGTTTGGGCACCCAAGCAGTATCACAGTCCTCAAACAAATCAAGAAATATACAGTAAGAATATGATGATATTATATTTATGATTAATCAATGAAGTAATAATATCATTCATTAATCAGATACTTTTACATATGAACCGGACAATCTAACATTATGAAAGTTAGTCAATGAACTATTTATTTATTTTAACACATAGATATTGGTACATTTATTTATTATTCATTTATTTGAACACATAAATATTGGTACAGGGGGGGCACCAAATATATATGCGCCACACAAAACAATGATAATTTGAAGAGGAGAATATATATATATATATATATATATATATATAAGTAATGAACGTGGGGAATTATAAAAAAAAGAGGGAGAGAACAATGATGGGGAGAACAGAAAGGTACAATCAGAAGAAATCTTTCAGTTAAGGAAGATACAACCACTTTTTATGAGGAAAGTAAAAGAAGGTTACAGCAGGATCGCCACTAGCTTCTATTCTGAGCCATATCTGATAACGTCTCTAGCCACTGTATTGCACCATCTCTCGGACCCCAGCCAGGGAGTCGTGAAGGACCAACAGAAGCTAGCCCTTTGCAGCTTTCTTTCATAGCACGACACCATGTCATATACTGACCACATATTTATACAAGGAGGCACCAAATACATATGCGCCACACAAATCTCATTTGATATGTGTGAGGGTTGTGATACTGACCGGGTGCCCAAACCGAACCACGTCGTTTTCTTAGGGGGCCATATCCAGAGCCTTCGACCTGAACGTCTGACCCACAAGACAGTGGAGCATCGTAAGGAGATGCAGTCCCATGGTAGCCGGTGAGCAACGATTGGTTCATACGTCATTTGTTCCCGCAGGATACTGAAGCCAGTCCATAAGCACCATTGGTTTGGGATCCGGTTAAAGTGCCGGACATTCGGTTTTCGTCCTGTCATTTTCGTAAAGAACATTAATGCCACGAGAAGGCAGTGAGTAGGACTTCCCTGGCAGAGGCTACAATGAACTATTCACATTTGATCATTTCTTTTCTGATACAACGTGCCAAATTTTATGTGATTTTTCACCAATTTATTGATACTTTCAATAAAACTCATTGAACCATAGAAACAATCGTGTTAATAGAGAAATAATAATAATAATAATAATAATAATAATAATAATAATTATTATTATTATTATTATTATTATTATTATTATAACACGTTTATACATCAGAATAAAAGAATTTACAGCATTTATTACAATTTTATTATGCAATAATGTAATGAATATCTCATAAAAACAGTTAAAGTATATTAACAGTTCAAATGATACAACTATATTGTTTGTTTTGTTTTTGATTCATTATATGACTGAATTTATTCTTAATTTATTTACTTGAACACATAGATATTGGTACAAGAAGGAACCAAATAGAGATATGCGCCACACAAATCATTTGATATGTGTTAGGGATGGGTTACTGTCCAGGTACTCAAACAGAAACAGGTGGTTTCCTTATGGGATCACAGCCGGAGCCCTTGACCTAAAGGTCTAATCCACAAGGCAGTGGAGCATCGTAAGGAGATGCAGTCCCGTGGTAGCCGGTGATCAACAATATGTTCATACGTCATTTGTTCCTTCAGGATACTGGAGCCCATGTGCACCATTGGTTTGAAATTAGGGTTTTCCAACTTCCCTAAGTTCAACCTCCATATCCACCAACCTGGTTAAAGCACCGGAAATTCGCTTTCCGTTCTCTCAATTTTGTAAAAAAAAACTTTCGCCACGACGAGTCAGTGAGTAGGACTTCCCTGGAAGGGGCTGTATACGCGTGGCCGTGTGAGAGCATTTTGAGAGGGAGAGCTGACTCTCCCCACCTACGGTTGTACCATGGCATTTGGGGGCATGAAATTGATTACATTCATCTCTTGTTTTTTTTCAAACGATAAAAAAATGGAAGAAATTTGTCAAAAAGTGTAGTTTTCAACTTAAGATTTCCAATGTTTAACATCAAAAGAAGTTCTAGTCGTATGCGCACACATAGTTATGATTATTAATTTTTTATTACAAATAAATCTAAAACAAGCAAGTTTAGTGCAAGATTTACACAGTTAAAAAATAGGTAACTTAAAAATTTCGAACAGGTCTCTGATGATTCGAAAACACAGGGACCCGACTCCACTGACAGGAATTTAACACACTTGAGCTCATTCGATTCGAGTTCTATCTAATTCAACAAATTGGAATATTAAGCATCTATATTCGGGATTAGAACACCTCTAACTAGTCTTATAACCCGACAACTATCTTAAGTAGGTAAATTCTAGATACTAACATTTGTTTTATGGACTTGACGAAAAAGCGAATAGCAACCCCCCCTTTATAAATAAAAAAAGATAGAGAGAATGCTTAAAGGCAAAAAATAAAGGATAACAATCCTTTAATAAACACAATAATTAATTAATAAAGCAATTAAGTGAATAATTAATATTCCTATATAATATTATACAATGAAAATTATGATTAATCTGTTATCATATCAAATAAAAAGATGAGAAAGAGAGAGAGAGTGTGTGTGAAAAATTGATTAAGAGAGAAAGTTTTTCTCATACTAAAAGTTTCCAATCAACACTGATACTGGTGATGATGATGATGATGTCTAAAGTGACAATGAATTGAACTCGGTTAAAGAAACACATACAAACAATTCAAACAAATCTTCTTCATTATGTCAGAGTATTTCTAGTAAACAACTCTGATCATCTAATGTTATGCACATGCTAATAATTCAATAGAATTCTTAACTGATAATTCAGTTAGTCAACAACATAGAACTTCGCACGTATGTAAGTCTGTTCGAGTTGCCGATTCAAATCCCGTAGTGGTAGAGGTCAGTCAGTCAGAAACAACGTGGAACTTCGCACGTACGTACATCAGTTCAAGTTGCCATACCACATTAGCACAGAGATTCAGTTATCGTCTCAAATCCCGTAGTGGCAGAGTAGTGAAAGTATAAGTAGTGACAGGAAACGTTAAGGTTTGATGATGTTATTTAAGGAATATAGTCCAGTGGAATATATTTGGAAAGAAAATAAAGGACATGGAGAATTCAGAAGATTAGAGTTTGGGAGAACACAAAGAGTGGATGCACCTGTGTCATTACAAACGATTTTGAGCCATATCATTCAAAGTTTCTAACACCATCGGTTGCTATAGTCTCACGGATCCTAACCAAGTAGTCTACACCTATCATACATGACTCAATCTACTTGTCAGTGACTTCATAGATTTGTGTTATGTTTTGGTCTGGCCACCCCTACCTTTCTTCCAACCTAATCCTATACCATGCCCCCAAATGCCCTGGTACGGCCGAGAGTGGGGAGAGTTCGCTCTCCCTCTCCAAATGCTCTCACATGGCCATGCGTATATAGCCCCTGCTAGGGAAGTCCTACTCACTGCCTTCTCGTGGCGGGGTGTTGTTTACAAATATGAGAGGATGAAAAGCGAATGTCGGGCGCTTTAACCGGACCCCAAATCAATGGTGCACATGGGCTCCAGTATCCTGCGGGAACAAATGGCGTATGAACCAATCGTTGGTCACCGTCTACCGTGGGACTGCATCTCCTCACGATGCTCCACTGCCTTGTAGGTCAGACGTTCAGGTCAAAGGCTCGGGGTGTGGCCCCCTAAGACAACCACCTGCTTCGGTTTGGGCACCCGGGCAGTATCACAGCCCTCACACAAATCAATTGAGCTTTGTGTGGCGCATATGTATTTTGGTGCCTCCCTGTATATGTATGTATGTAATCCTATACCATAAAATATTTCACGTCGGGGTAAACATTACATGTATATAAAAAATTGAAATAACTTTTGTCAAAGTAAAACACAAACATACAAACTTTGTTCATATTTTCAACAAATTATTATGAAGTAAACTATTATTTATGAATGTTTTTTTTCGTTATTCACATACCTCTTTTCCAGGATATTCTTTGATAACTTTACGTAATTCTTGTTTACTAAAAGCAAATTGATAACTAACCACTTCAGATCGTACACCAGCATCCAAAGCACTTTGAACATTTTCAAAAAAGCTCTTTAAATATAATATATCAAAACAACAATGAATAATATGTAAATAAAGTAATACTTAGCTAGAAATAGTGCTGATAATGAATAGTTAAAGCTCAGTAAAAGGATTTTGAAGATGTTGTGTTCTTTGTACTGGATCAATAAGTCGTGATGTTTCCAACATTCTTTTCTTAGACAACATTATCAAGAAGTACTTGAAAGAGAAGTAAGCTGTTAAACTCTCCACAAATGACCAAAAGCTTATTTTACTGACATGGAATCTTAGTAGCTATTGTAGACAACTACAGATATGAGTGCGATTGGGAAAGTGTTGAAATATGGGATAGAGAAAACAAACGCTTATGATCAACAATAAACCAAATATTGCGTCAATGGAACAAGAAGATGATCAGCTGTTGAAAAATTCGAATATAGCACAAACTGATCTTAATTAGATGACTATTGAAAACTTAGAAGCAGTAGACGGCGGTTTCATCCTATTATGGGACTTCTCAGTATTGTGCATCAATGATTGAAGTTACACATTAAATACAGTTGCATGTAGAACGAGAATGAAAGTTTGGAGATCGATACGCGGATGCAGGGTTGTCGATGCACACTGCTGACGAGCCACATCATAGAATGAAACGACACTTGATGCTTTCAGGTTTCCAAAACGGTCTAATATCAGCTCGCAGTTTAAAAGCTACAGAAATTCTAGTCTCCACATAAAACGATGCTGACAGTCCTAATAAATCCTTTCTTATTGAACTGTGTGCTAAAAATGTTGTTTAGAAAGACAATGAGGTTTCACGACTAGACCATCAAACTCAGCGAACAAGAAATATCAATTCTTACGTGTATAGAAGAACAAGTGACCTACATATTTGAACATCTCACATGAATGATGATGAAACAAGGTAATTTTTCGTTCCAACATGACACGTTCAAAAATATAAATACGTGTCTCACATCAATAATTTGTGTAGTCTAATGGTCATAAACTATGATTGTTATAACGTGTGATCCGCCTATTAGAGAGCAGCCTATTATCGATCGAAACAGTGACGCATAAAATACGTGCGAGCAGCCTAGAGCTCTGATTGGTCCTGCTTCCCTGTCTAGCCCAGCCAATTGAGTCCAGAACACAAGTCTCAGCCTCGGAGATATGAATCGTTATATTTCAAACATACACTGTTTATATACCAAACAAACAGACTACATCGTACCATAAAATAGAAAGTAACATTTGTACAAGATTTAACCTTCAGGGAATGACACAAATAAATACTGACCAATAAGGAGATGACACGTTGGAAGAATGTTGACCAATGGGGAAATGACACTACTTCTCATTCAGGAATAGCATTAGATAATTTCTGGGGTATTTTCTGAATACCCCAACAATGATCTTATTGGCATATCAGCCTTTAAATAAAATCGATTGCAAAAAAAGGCATTTAAACTCAAATCAAACTAAATTTATCAATGATTTTTATAATTTGCAATTGTTTGCTGGAGTCTGATGGTGCTCCGGTTTTAGAATACTCGATACCAGCTGCCAGCTTGATACTACGGCGATCGTAGTTATCAATGATGACGACTGAATGGAGTTACATTAACTGAAATACTTCCTCTCGGCACATTCTTAATGCAATGTACTTTAGCAAGACCTGTATTTGAAAGCTTCGAGTATCTGAGTAGTTGTGTTAGTCTTTGTGGTGGTGTGATGAATGAAATCAATCTACACATAATGACAAACTGATGTCAGTATGGCTGTAGGAGGTCTGGTTTATAACTTGAGCCCTCCAATGTAGGAATTCTCGGAGACTATCTGAGTTTGATATTTGGCTATCATGGCTTTGTACAGATGGTACGACAACTTAACGTTTCTGATAATAAGCTTTAAAACTTTACAGAGCAAACATTATAAAAAAGTATCTACAAAACGGTCGTGTGTGACCGGTCATAAGTAAACAATCTCTTGGATCCTATGGTCGATCGACAAATGCATTAATAAAAATCTACTTTCCTTTTCAGTTTGCACCAAAAAAACTATTCTTTTACAGTATACACAACACGGAAGTCACAACCGCCTGTAAGCCTTTATTCCAAAATCATCGAAATTCATTGACTTGTTAACAAACCACCTTGGCTCCACATTCAATGACTGAGTAATCATAGTTAAATCTTGACTAATTATTAATTGAGTAATGCAAGTTCACAGAATAATATCGAGAGAATTTCGTACAGTATTAAGAAATAGACATTTATTGTGTCAACTGGAAGTAATTCGATTCACGTATCAACAGTACCGTGCATCAAAATACAATGTACATAGATACGCCACGCACTATCAAGAATACAAAGAAAGCCGAAAGTCTAATCTTGCTCCAACCTATGATGATATATAAGGACAAAACACAGGTATTTACGGAATTCTTACCAAATCCATGAAAGTCAGCTATTTAGGGTATTAGTTTCATCGTATTTGACTCGATGGTACGTACGAGATTCAAGAAATCAAAATGATGGCTATTAAAGAATTCCATTTATTTTGGTCAATCTCATATATAAAAGGGAAAGGATAATGCATTTCACAAACAATAATAAATGAAGAAAAAAAAAGTCAAATTAACTTACTGCTAATTTCTCCAATGGACGACCCATACATGTTTTTGTATATTCTTGTAATGCTAAAGTATAACGATTCTTAGCATCTTGACGATAATCATCTAGACTGGACATTTTTAAACGTCGAAGAATATCACAAAGACGATGATAATTTTCTAATATAAGGATAGAAAAAAAATTGTAATAAATAACGAATAAACACAAGAAACTTAATTAAAAGCATTTTTAATTTGAAGAAAATATGAGTCAACCAATGTAGGTTCTTGATACATATAACTCAAACCTGTCCAGTATATATATATATATATATATATATATATATATATATATATATATCACTGTCAGTCAGTAACAACGTGGAACTTCGTACGTACGTACAAAAGTTCAAGTTGCCATACCACATAGCACAGAGATGCAGTTGTCGATTCAAATCCCGTAGTGGTAGAGGTAGTAAAAGTATAAGAAGTAATCAGAAAGATTAAGATTTAAAGATGCTATTCAAGGAGTATAATATTTAAATTTGGAAAGTGAAAAAACAAACGGACATGAAGAATTCAGATTAGAATTTGGGTGAACACAGAGAGTGGATGCACCTGCGTCATTGCAAATGATTTTGAGCCATGTCATTCAAGGTCTCTAACACCACCGGTTGTTATCGTCTCGCGGTCCCCAACCAGGTAGTTTATACCTACCAACATGGGTTAGTCTACTTGTCAGTGACTTCATGAACTTGTGTTGTTTTTTCGTCTGGCCGTCCTTAGCTTTCTTCCAACCTACTCCTATACCATAAAACATAGCACGTCGGGGCAGTCAGTGGTTGGGTTCTACATATGTAACACATATCCCAGCCATCTCAACTGATGAAGTTTCATTACTTCATCAATTGATTTGCCATTCTTACCTAGTACCCGTTTCCTAACAACCGAGTTACTTACTCGGTGGTCCCAGGATATACGAGCAATGCTTTGAAAACACCTATGATCAAATACTAGTAACCTACGAATATCCTCTACTCTTACCAGCCATGTTTTACTACCATCACACTGCAAAAATCATACTATACTACTGAATTCAGTGGAGTAGTATTCAGATTACAGAATAAATAATTACAAATAATGTGTCTCAAGGATATAATCATATCAATAACAACACATGAATCAATAAAGAACACCCCCAAATGCCCTGGTACGGCCGAGAGTGGGGAGGGTTCGCCCTCCCTCTCGAAATACTCTCACACGGCCATGCGTATACAGCCTCTGCCAGGGAAGTCCTACTCACTGCCTTCTCGTGGCATTACTATTGTTTACGAAAATGAGAGGACGAAAAGCGAACGTCCGGCGCTTTAACCGGATCCCAATCCAATGGTGCACATGGGCTCCAGTATCCTGCGGGAACAAATGGCGTATGAACCAACTTTTGGTCACCGGCTTCCATGGGACTGCATCTCCTCACGATGCTCCACTGCCTTGTGGACTAGACCTTTAGGTCAAAGGCTCGGGGTGTGGCCCCCTAAGAAAACCACCTGCTTCGGTCTGGGCACCCGGGCAGTATCCCAGCCCACTCACTAAAACTATGATGAACTATATGCTTATAGAAAGTATTCATTTCTCTCCGACTAACCTTGAAATGACTGGTATTATTATTATTATTACTATTATTATTATTGTTATTATTATTATTATTTACTACGTCATTTATTCACTATCTCCTATTTCTACTTTTTGTATCCGCTTCGACTCAGACAGCAGCTCGCCTATGGTGAAAATTCAGCTTTATCTAAACGTTCTCGAGTCACTGCCTGGTTGAAAATTGTATGTTCCTACCGAATATGAGTACTGAAGCAGTTTTTCTGAAACCACGTGCACCATTCAAACTGGCTGCCTTCAACGTTCGCACACTTATGCAGGTCGGACAACAGATAGGGCTGGCTATGTCTTTGGAAAGTCTTAATATTGACGTGTGTTGTCTATCCGAGACCCGTATTCAAGACTCTGGTGAAATACTACAAGTTCGCTCTCCATCTGTCACTTCAAAAAGCTTGTTTTATGTGCGTTTATCCGGGGACCCTGTGGCATCTTCGTCTGGTCTTGCTGGCGTTGGTGTCGCACTAAGCGCAAGAGCTGAGGCAGCACTAGTCGACTGGATCCCCATTAACAGTCGGTTATGTGCTGTTAGATTAGAAAGTTCCATCAAAGTGAGAAGAAATCGGCGTGAGAAACGATGTCTTTTCGTCATCTCCGCCTATGCCCCGACAGATTGCAGCCCGGATGCAATCAAGGACGAGTTCTACCATCATCTAACTGTTCTTCTCCAGAAAGTGCGTTCGACAGATATCGTAGTACTAGCTGGAGACTTGAATGCTCAGGTCGGACGTCTAGGCACAGAAGAGAGTCGTTTAGGTGGCCGATGGGGACTCGTTGGTCGCAGGACAGATAACGGGGAACGTCTACTGCAACTATGCACAGACCACAACCTGTTTCTGGCTAGCACTAACTTTCGGCACAGTCATCGCCGATGTGCCACCTGGCGTCCCCCTTCTGCATCTCAAGCCTGGACTCAGATTGATCACATCGCGATCAGCTACCGCTGGCGCGGTTGTGTACAAGACTGCCGCTCCTTTTGGAGTACCTATCTGGAATCTGATCATGCTCTGGTCTGCGCCAATCTTACCTTACTTTTCAGTGGACAACGAAGTGACCGCCACCAAAGGATTGATGTTAGCAAGCTGGCTGCAACTTCTGTTGCTAGTAAGTACCGAACCGAGCTAGCTTCTAGGCTAGCTACCATTCCACCGAAAAGTATAGATGAGCATTGGTTGCAATTGCATGACGCCATGAAAATGGCGGGTACAGTCTGTTGTGGGTTTGCGAAACGTCCCGCTTACAAGCACTGGGTTTCTTCTGGTTCCTTACAACTGATTGAAGCCCGTCGGTCTACTCCGGGTGACCGTGAGTTTGACCACAGACGAAGGATGTTACGTAATGAAATCGGGCAAAGCTTGCGTAAGGACCGAGAAGCCTGGTGGTCGGAGCGTGCCAGTGAGTTGGAAGCAGCAGCTGCATCTGGTAATTACCGGAAGCTCTTCCAACTCATCCGAGCCACTGGCATCAAGAAGTTTGGTGTGAGCGAAACAATCTGCGAAGATGACGGAACGCCAATCACTAACATCCATCGACGTCTTGGACGATGGGCAGAATTCTTTGAAGGGCAGTTCAACTGGCCTGCTGCTCCGGCAACATCGGTCAGACTGTCCTGCCCTCCATGGCCGGTGACGACTGATCCACCAAATGAGGCGGAAGTCCGCAAGGAACTCCAACTCTTGAAACGTTACAAATCACCGGGCCCAGATGACTTACCTCCGGCTCTTTTTAAAGATGGTGGTGACTTTCTGACTAAGGGACTGACGACGTTGTTTACAAAGATCTGGGAACTAGAGAGTGTACCAACGTCATGGAATGAGTCGATAGTTGTCCCTATGTTTAAAAAGGGTTCACGTTGTTCCTGTAACAACTATCGGGGGATAAGTCTACTTCCGATTGCGTCCAAGCTATTGGCTTCCGTCATACTTCGTAGGTTGTTCAGAACCCGAGAAGGATTGACTCGTGAGGAGCAGGTTGGGTTTCGTTCTGGTCGAGGATGTGTTGATCATATCTTCACCCTCCGCCAAGTGTTAGAACACCGCCATACTTATCAAAGGCCAACAATCGTAGTGTTTCTTGACATCAGGGCTGCCTTCGATTCGTTGGACAGAACTGTTCTCTGGGATTGTCTATTGAAGAAGGGTGTGCCTGAGAAGTTTATTAACATACTGAAAGTATTATGCACAAACACCTCAGGCAGAGTGAGGGCATACAACCACCTCTCTCCACTTTTCCTTCGAGCAGTGGGGTTAGGCAGGGTTGCCCAATCTCACCATTCCTCTTCAACTTTGCCATCGACGACATTCTGGAAACAGCTCTGGCGGATGTAAGTAATGGTGGTGTGGATCTGTTGCCTGGAGAAAGACTTCTCGACCTTGAGTATGCGGATGATATTGTCTTACTGTGCGAGAATGCCCAAGCCATGCAATCCGCACTTAATCAGTTGGCAATCAGTGTCCGTAGGTATGGTATGTGCTTTGCACCCTCAAAGTGCAAAGTACTTCTACAAGATTGGCAGGATTCTAATCCTGTACTCACTCTGGATGGTGAGCAGATTGAAGTAGTCGAGAAGTTCGTGTATCTAGGTAGCTGCATAAGTGCTGGTGGTGGTGTGAGTGATGAGATCAATGCACGTATAGTGAAAGCCAGAGCGGCTTATGCCAATCTGAGCCATCTTTGGCGCCTTCGTCATGTTAGTCTGGCTGTAAAAGGTCGGATCTACAACGCGTCGGTCAGAGCAGTTCTGCTCTATGCTTGTGAAACCTGGCCTCTCCGAGTTGAGGATGTTAGACGACTCTCTGTGTTCGATCATCGCTGTCTCCGAAGGATTGCTGGCATCCAGTGGCAACACCATGTCAGTAATGCAGAAGTTCGGCATCGTGTGTTCGGTCACAGAGACGATAATGAAATTGGTGTCACCATCTTGAAACACCGACTTCGGTGGCTTGGACATGTTTTACGAATGTCGTCCCAGAGAATTCCACGTCGTGCATTATTTGCCGACTCTGGGACTGGTTGGAAAAAGCGGAGAGGTGGTAAGTATATGAGATGGTGTCGTGGTATGAAAGAAAGCTGCAAAGGGCTAGCTTCTGTTGGTCCTTCACGACTCCCTGGTTGGGGTCCGAGAGACGGTGTAACGCAGTGGCTAGAGACTTTATCAGATATGGCTAAGAATAGAAGCCATTGGCGATCGTGCTGTAACCTTCTTTTACTTTCTTCATAAAAAGTGTTTGTATCTTCCTTAACTGAAAGATCTCTTCTGATTGTACCTTTCCGTTTCCCCCACCATTGTTCTCTCTCTCTTCCTTTTTTTTATAATTCCCCACGTCCATTACTTTTTTTTTCTTCTTTTTTTCTCTTTTCTCCTTCTCTTCAAATTATCATTGTTTTGTGTGGCGCATATATATTTGGTGCCCCCCTGTACCAATATTTATGTGTTCAAATAAATAAATAAATAAATAAAGAACACCCACCAAGTAATAATAATAATAATGCTGAATATATATAAACTGATGTAATTAGCTAAATTAAAGCAGATACTCCTTAAATTGAATAATGATGACAGACATGAACCATAGGTTACACTGTTACATTATTTGATGAGTTTTTAGTGAATTTCAAGCACTTAGATAATAATCCTAACCAGTATCTTTAACGTTATACCTAGTACCTTCAAATCACATTGGTTTTATCAGTTAGAACAGATTGTAATTATTTGTGCCGACCATTAAATAGGACACATTTAAATATATCTATGGGAAACAAGAATCAATGAATTTATATTCCAAGAATATTCAATAGAAAAAAAAAAGATCATCTTCGATATGTTTGTTGATTAATGGATCATTAAAAAATAAATAAATAAATAAATAAATAATAATAAATTTACCTAACTGAACAACTTCACCAGGTGTTTTCACACTTCTTGATGCAACTCGATCAATTTCAGTCATTAAACATCGTACTAATTCTCTATGAGCACGTTCTAGATCAACTAAACGTGAACTTTTAGCAAATACAGTCATTGAACATTCAGCGAATTCAATATAAGTACGAACCATTGATAATACACCACATCGTACTTTTTTACATGGTTTACTTGTTTTAAATGAAATAATTAGACGCTCCTGATAAAGAATTTAAAAAAAAATGCAAATGATATGATAACATATATAAAATGAATGAGTTTATTTACTAATTATACTATATATAAATAGTATCTGACAGTTTAAACTAATCTTCGGAATGTAGTTGAAATTCGATGATTGTTAATCACTAAAACATCAAGACTCAGTAGCTGAGTGGATAACGCTATGGCGTTTGAAGCGGATAATACTGGGTTCGAGTCCCAGAGTGAACATCAACTCTAAGATGCAGGTACATCAAGCTGACGAGTCCCAAATAGGACGAAACGTGCATCAACCTGGATTCCACTGCTAACCACTATCCATCATTGCTTTACAAAAAGCTTGTGAATTAAGGCAATATCGAGGCATACGCACAGTATGCACATATGCCAATAACAGACTGATCAATTGCAGTCTTAAACCTCAATGGGAAGATACAAGCCAAACAACACCAAGTGAATTTAAATTCACCACATTGCACAAGCAAGTGGTTATCAGGACTCAGTAGCTGTGTGGGTAACGCGATGGCGTTTGAAGCGAATGATACTGGGTTCGAGTCACAGAGCGAACATCAACTCTGAGATGCAGATACATTCAGCTGACGAGTCCCAAATAGGACGAAACGCGCGTCAAGCTGGATTCCACTGCTAGCCACTATCCAGCTTTGCTTATAATCGTGCCTTATAGTTTACATATGTATCCACTCGAAGCTTTCTACCTGAATGACTGAATCACGGCACTAATTCCCGAGAATAAAAGGTTCGACCACGGGTGGAGATTTGAATTTGCACCGATGGAAAGTCTCATACTAGGATAGAGAAGTTTTTCAATCGTTCCTGATTTTTACTGGTTGTTCAACTAAGATTGGTTCCGATCACGGAATTACAATAACAACTATGGTTGAAATGAAGAACAGATTCAACGTAAAACCTATGGGTCAATATCTGAGTGACATAAACATATTAAGCCCTATTGATTATTCCATACTTTTAAGCCAAGATTTAAGATATTTTCCTGAATCTGAAAACAATCAATTGTTATAAATAAGAACTTTCGTCTAAATTTGAACGAATAGTTTCACAATATTTGGGCGCCGAGTTAATGTTAGACATTAAAGAGAAAAATGTATTTGTAAAATCTCAGCGAATGAATTTTAAATCCAACGTTTCGCCTGGCAATCTGGTCCAAGCTTTTTCAAGGAAAATATAATCAAACAACAAAATTATCGAATATAAATAGGGGTACATGGTTCTCTGGTTTACTGTATACTGAATAAGTCATCCAATCAACGTGAACAATGTTTAAAGTAGGTATTTACATTACTGTGTAAGAGACTTGTGTTATGAAAAACGAAAAGTGTTAAGATAACAGATCGTGTGTTTACGTAAGTGATGTGTGAAGAAATTTCATTCAAATATATGTTGTCTTCGGTATGTGTATATTAAGAAAACATATCATTTTATATATGATATGAATCAAAATGTCACAGCATGCATTAAATGACGATAAATAAACAAGATAAGTAAACAAGATAACAGACTGAATTCAAAGAGGAATGTATTTGTAATTGAAAGTTTGTGTTATTTCAGTGTTCCCATCAATTGTTTAACATAATCAGATACAATAACTGAGTTGAAACCGTTAAATGTATTATCTATTGATTAGTTCATCAATAGATAGAATGTAATAAGGAGTTCAGGTTTACTTATTAATTATTAGTTGCCATGGGACAGCTAATTGTATTCCATCTCTCCTATTAATACTGTTTGAATTAGCCCATATATGTAGGGCTTCGGCTGTTAGTCGTTCTTTGTAAGAGTTATGAATTGATATTAACTTGGAAAAGAACAAATTGTGAGAATTAGATAGTTGTTTCGTCTTTTATTTCAAACTTTTCATCAGGGATCACCAACAAGTACGTTCAGATTTAGAGAAATAGGATCTCTATATGACTAAATGAATATTGAATAAAAAACAACAACAACAACAACAAAAAAGAAACAGGCAACATTATTATCACTTACAACAAGACGATTAAAAGCTCGTTTTGTTTCAATAGTAAATCGTGATAACAAATTTGCAATATATGTCATTGGAATTTTATCAGAATCTTGTGATTCTAATTGTAATTGATTAGTATTGCCAATACCATTACTAGAATTAGAATTATCTAAATTGGTTGTTGTGGTTTGTTGTTGTGGAGGTGACGATGATGATGATGATGTTAATGTTGATGTAATCTCATTTTCTGTTATACGTGAAATTGTAATTAACAATGGCATAATCAATATAGATTGTAATTGTTCACAATGATTGATTAAATTTAAAACATCTTGTTCAACACTATCAAATAAATTAGCCATACAATCGAATAAAGTAGATAATTCATCGCCTTTATAATTTTTATACATAGCAATATTATGCTGGGAGGGGGGGAAAGAACATATACACATAGAGTGAGAAATGGGTATGTTTATGTGAGAATGATAATAATTTTTTTTTATTGTAAGCGATTAAAGAAATAATCTATGATTAATTGGGGATGTGAGAGTAACCAAGGATTGGAGACTGGGAATGATATGACTCAGAATCGATCACACTGGCGTAGGTGAATACACTCTTCGTCTTCCGTTAAATTATGAGATTAAAATCGCTTCATACCTTTCTTTCTACGAACTAATTCTTTCTTTCTGTACTATATCCTTACATAAAAACTTCCTTTTATATATTGAGTTAACTGTTTCTATGAATTCGGTGTTCGTCGTGTTGTGCTAATGAGGTATGATAACTTGGATCGCTGCACATATGTGCCTGGTCCTACGTTGTAACTGATTGACTGACATGCATTACATTTCACTAAAACTATGCTCGTAAGAATTGCTTTCATTGATTTTACGTTTCATGTTGTTTTGGTTATATAAAGTAAAACAGTTTAGACTAAATGTCAATGACTTTATCAATGGATAATACATCTCATTTTGAGCTCCCATGGTTCTCATTCAAACTACACATATATACATCAGAAAACATTGCATATCCAGCTAGTTGGTGATTTGAAATTATCAATACATATCCCATACACTTAAATCGATAAAGAATTACAGTTTGATTGAACAATTTTCTATTTTTCTCTTATGGCCCCAAATGCCCTGGAACGATCGAGAGTGGGGTGAGTCTGCTCTCCCTCTCCAGTTGCTCTCACATGGCCACGCGTATATAGCCTCTGCCAGGAAAGTCCTATTCACTGCCTTCTCGTGGCATTAATGTTGTTTACGAAAATGAGAGGACGAAAAGCGAATATCTGGCGCTCTAACCGGATCCCAAATCAATCGTACATATGGACTGACTCCAGTATCCTGCGGGAACAAATGGCGTATGAACCAATCGTTGGTCACCGTCTACCATGGGACTGCATCTCCTTACGATGCACCACTGCCTTGTGCATCAGATCTTCGGGTTGAAGGCTCGGGTGTGGCCCCCTAAAAAAACCATCTGCTTCAGTTTGGGCACCTGAGCAGTATCACAGCCCTTACACAAACTAAATGAGATTTGTGTGGCGCATATGTATTTGGTGCCTCCTTGTACCAATATCTATGTGTTAAAATGAATAAATAAAATTCTCTTATGACTTTACGCTTAATCTAAGTTCTGTTTATTCCATCATTTCACAATATAACTGTCCAAAAGAAAAAAGGGGAAAAAATTTACGTCAGCAAAAAGAGAATAACTCAAGACCTTAGTTTAAACACCTTTTTCTCATTGCCATCATACCAAGAAATTTCAGTTTAACATTTATTTCATAAAGTCAATGAGAATTATCAATTCCGTGAACAAAGTTTTATTCAATGTCCTTATGGTCTATTAACAATTATGTGATACGATTACCAATTAGAACAACGATTTTAAGACCAGACCAACGACGCATAAACCAATACGAGAAGCCTAGAGTCAACTTTAAGTTCTTATTGGTCTAGATTCTTGCCAAACCCAGCCGGTTTAATCCAGAACATTAGTTTATGATGAAATTTTGTTCTCTGAGCTGGATAGTTTGGTTGTGGGGCTTTCATTGTTATTTTAAACGATATTATCAGCACAAATTTCAGGTAGAAGTGAGGTGTTCGAATCTCTCCACATATCATTCACAGATTTTCTGGTAGACCTCGATGTTGATTGGTTATTATTGACCTTAAACTATTCTAGAACATCAGTATCAGTCTCCGCTATATGAATCCTATATTTTAAACATACTTGGTTTATATACAAACAAAACAGACCTAAAGGTCTGATATACAAGGAGATGCAGTCCCATGGTAGACGGTGATCAACGATTGGTTCATACACCATTTGTTCCCGCAGGATACTGGAGCCCATGTGCACCATTGGATTAGGATCCAGTTAGAGCACCAGATATTCGCTTTTCGTCCTCTCATTTTCGTAAACAACACCCCTGGTGCGAGAAGACAGTGAATAGGACTTTCCTGGCAGAGGCTATATACGCGTGGCCATATGAGAGCATTTGAAGAGGGAGAGCGGACTCTCCCTACTCTCAGCCATACCATGGCATTTGGTGGCAAGCCGTGCGCCGGCCGGGGAGGCTATAAGTATTTATAACTTAAATCACTCCATAGAAAATAAATTTCAAATAATCACTACAAACTGATGAAAGGAAATGTCAGAACATAGAATGAAACAATTTTCTTTTCTTTAAAAAAAAAAAAAAAAATAAAAATCTAGAGAAGTAAACAAGAAGAAAAATTAAATGAATTTTGAACAAAAACATCGACATGTAAATTTCATTTCCGTTTGAAAATATTATATTGTATTAAGAATGAATATATTAGAGAGATATATTATTGTCATAAATCACTTTTCTAATTTAACCCATAGAGTTCTGATTAGTTGTAAAGGAAAAAATAAAAAATAAAATAAAATAAGTAAAACAATTAAATGTACTTACTGATTTTTCAATTTTTGATGCATTTAAATGAAAACCGAAAAATTGATTTAAAAATGCTTGTTCTGTACGAATTAAAGTTAAAATTTTCTCGAAACAATTATCAAAGATCTATGATATAAAGAAAGAAAAAAAAAAGAAAGGAAATGAAACTGGAAAAAATATATATATTTCTTTGTATAATTATTATTAAAGCTCGAACACATAGTTTGAAGCGTTAGCTACAAAAGACCTGAAATAACACATTGTATACTTGAATCGCTAGTACAGCTGACATGCGAGGAAAAAAATCTAGTGGTCTAGTGGTTAAGTGCTCGCGCGCGAAACCAGTAGGTCCTGGGTACGAATCTCGCAGGGGGCGAGGTCGTGGATGCGCACCGATGAGGAGTCCCACAATAGGATGAAATGGTCATCTAGTGTTTTCAAGTTTTCCATAGTGGTCTGACTTCAACTGACTCATGATCTTAATTATTGTAATATAAGAACAATTAGTAGTTAAAGTAAAATAAGGAGTAGAAAATGAAGAACAATGATGATCATGGACTAAATAATCTCATATGCTGTAAAACACTTGTATGCAGTTGTAACTTCCAGTCATCTACTCTATGAAATGATACCTTATCGATGATCAGTTGAAGAATCATCACTGCAACCCAATGAAGATTATTAACATCTAACTATTAATATATTTCGATGTTAAAGAATTATTATATCTATTTACTTAACCAATCGAATAAAATTTATTAAATTAAACCTTTCTACTGATAAGAATTAAAGTAGACATTTGAGACATATTTAAAAAAGTGAATTCGAAAAACAAAAACAAAAAAAAGAAATTTCATCCAACTTACAAAAAAACTTACCGATTCAACTTGAGTTAAAAGATTTGAATCTAAATTATGTAATGACATAACACTTCCAACATCTGATGGTATATTCTCTAAACGTTGAATTTCTTTAGCTAATACATACAAGAAAATAAATAAAATAAAAATAGACGTTAAGGAATATGTGATTCCACCTTGATATAATTTATCATCGCGACTACTAAAAATATCAATCAACAGTTGAAATGATCATTGATTATTATCACTAGGGACAATTAAGGAAGCATTGATTAGTATTTGTAACTCAGATTTTTTTTAATTTCTTATAAGTAGTACATATTAAAGACTGAATCATAAAGATTGTACACATGCAACTTTCATAACATTGATATTTTAATTGAAACCAGTACCACTAGGAGATAGAGTCCACTCTCCCTGTCGAAATGCTCTCACATAACCACGCGTATATAGCCTCTGTCAGGGAAGTCCTATTCACTGTCTTCTCGCATCACGGGTGTTGTTTACAAAAATGAGAGGATGAAAAGCGAATGTCCAGCGCTTTAACCGGATCCCAATTCAATGGTGCACATGGGCTCCAGTATCCCGAAGGAACAAATGGCGTGTGAACCAATTTTTGGTTACCGTCTACCATGGGACTGCATCTCCTTACGATGCTCCACTGCCTTGTGTATCAGACCTTTAGGTCAAGGGCTCCGGGTGTGGCCCCCTAAGAAAGCCATCTGCTTCAGTTTGGGCACCTGGGCAGTATCACAGCCCTCACACATATCAAATGAGATTCGTGTGGCGCGTATGTATTTGATACCTCCTTGTACCAATATGGGTTCAAATAAATGAATAAATAAAATACATTTATTATGTGATACTTATTTCGATAGTGATGTGTTCACTAATATTAAGTTTGACGACAAACGGTTAATTCGATATAGTTGGTTCCCCTATAAGAAGTTAGATAAGACTAAAAAATAATAATGTGCAAACAAACAAGTGTAACATCATTTAAAGATAAAAATTTTACAAAAAGAATGAAGTCCGGAAACATAATAGAATGAATATTGTGGTAAATTATAGAAGTTGTGTAAAGTTTACATGAATCCCAGATCAGTTGAAAATAGATATGGAAGATTTAGAACAATGATGTGACTGGAGGGTTACGTGAAAATTACACATACAAGATTTGACTATTTAACAAACGTTTAAAGAATTAAGTGAACGAAGAAAAGAATAGTGGATGACGAGATTAGATAATTTCATGTACAAATGGGCTACTAACAAATCTTTATCGTTTAAACGAAGCATCTTCTGTCACTTAGCCAAAGGAATTTCACACTTACTTGCCACCTCACAAAATATACTTACTTACCTACTCCTCTTACTCTTCACGAAGGAGCATAGGCCGCTCACAAGCATTCTCCATCCAACCCTATCCCAACCAATCATTTCCAGCTCTTTCCAGTTCTTATTCATCCTTTTCATATCCGATTCTATTTCCCGATGTAATGTGTTCTTTCGACTTCCTCTTTTCCACTTACCTTCACAATTCCAAGTTAGGGCTTACCTCGTAATGCAGTTTGACGATTTGAGTAATGCATGTCCTATGCATTTCCATCGTCTTTTCCTAATCTCCTCTTCAGCTGGAAGCTGGTTGGTTCTCTCTCACAGCAGGCTGTTGCTGATAGTATCCGGCCAATCGATGTTGAGTATCTTGCGTAGACAACTATTCATAAATACTTGTACCTTCTTGATGATGGTTGTTGTAGTTCTCCACGTTTCAGCTCCATACAGTAGAACTGACTGCCTTGACGTTCGTATTGACGATTCTGACTTTGATATTGATTGAAAGTTGTTTTGAGTTCCATATATTCCTCAATTGTAAGAATACTGTCCTTGCTTTGTCGATCCACGCCTTTACGTCTGCATCTGATCCTCCTTGTATATCGATGATGCTTCCCAGGTATGTGAAGGATTCTACATCTTCCAGAGTTTCGCCATCAAGTGTGATTGGATTGCTGTTCTCCGTGTTGTATTTGAGGACCTTGGTTTTCTCCTTGTATATGTTGAGGCCTACTGATGCCGAAACTGCTGCTATGCTGACTGTCTTTATCTGCATTTGTTCGTGTGTATGCGATAGGAGGGCTAGGTCATCTGTGAAGTCCAAATTGTCTAATTGTTTCTGAGCTGTCCATTGTATGCCGTGTTTTCCCTCAGATGTCAAGGTCGTCACCTCGCAAAAAACAGCCATTAATTTTTCTGTCTTATTGCAAATCATATCTATTCAAAGAATCACTGATACTAAGCATATTTAACTATATAATACATGATCAAAAAGTTAACAAAAATATTGCTTCTTTAAATTGGTACTTGGCTTAGAAAAAAAAATCAATTTTAACTTACATTTCCCAGGTCGGACAAGATTGGCGACGGAGTCTTGTGTACACTTCAATACTTCTTGTATTTGTCGTTTAAAAAAATTTTGTGATTTTTCAATATACATCTAATAACAATTATAGAAACAAATTGTATGATTTTATATAGACTGTAGTAAAAATATGGGTCAATGTCACAACTACTCATTTATAATAAGTAGTATGTTTCATCCTACAAATATTCTTTTCTTTTGTTGATTTAAAACACGAAGTTCAGCGAAGGGATCTCTTTTCAACGAATTTATTATATATATGACAATTTGGTAAAAGTACTAATTTCGTGAGGAAATGTGAACACAGTTAACCTTGACATAATAAAAAGGTTATAATACTAGATTACGTAATACGAATAATAACAATAGATTTAGTGAATATAATAAGATGATTAAAATGTTTTTTATCAATTAATTATAATATCCAAAAAACCCATATGATATTAATCAACATATGCTCACTAGTGAGTGGCTTCAAGAGGTATATTTTGGAGTTCTAGTGAGAAGTAGTGACCAGTGGAGTTCAATCGGGTCTGTTGTGAGATAGTAACTCACTGAAGACAAGAGGGGATGTGTCGCTCAATTTCGTGGATTAGTTGAAGTTAGACATCAACACCGTTGGATGCCGGCCGGCTCAGTGGTCTGTTGGTTAAGTGCTTACGCGCGAAACCAGTAGGCCCTGGGTTCGAGTCTCGCAGGGGGGTGAGGCCGTGTATGCGCACGGCTGAGGAGTCCCACAATAGGACGAAACGGCCGTCCAGTGCTTCCAGGTTTTCTATGATGGTCTAGCTTCAACTGACTCATGATCCTAACCATTGTAACTACAAACACACAAGCCGGAAAACATATGCATTGGTACAACATAATCCGTATTTATGAACCATAATAGACTTTTATCATAGATATAATTTCCCCGTATCAACTAACAAACGACAAATACTATGAACTGGAATTTTTAAATAATTCAGTTTGATGGTTGCAATTTTTAACACCACTACAGCTTTAGAATGTTTTATGGAAGCAGTGTGCTGACATCACTTCTGTGCAGTTAGTCATATCACATCTCTCTCGAACACTATGCCTGATGCTTTAAATCTTAACTTTCCTCATAGACAATCACAATATGCAAACTCGATTATCACATCAAGATAGCAAGCTACGGATTACGTCAACTAGGAGAAAAGATTCTTCTTCTTGAGTAAACCAACAGTTAATAACATAATACACTGTAGTGTAGCTGTAAAGATGTGTCGGTATGTTATAATACTATTGACATAAAATATTAAAATGTCATGTGTAATCACTTCCATAGCTGAGCAATTGACAACCTCAGAGATTTGTGACCAAGCAACCAAAAAGGCTGTTTTATCAATAATGAAATTAGTGTAAATTACAAATACTTTTTATGAAAGAAAACACATTATTACCCTTTTAATTCCAATATATAAATCTTTTCTATTAGCTTGTAACCAGTTACCAACTAGTGGAGTTAGTTGAAGTAGGTCAGTTCTTTGAACAGCATATAAATCAGATGCAACACGAAAAGAACTTGTAATCATCATTGATGTTTTCCTATTTCCTCCGCCACCACCAGATTGATTATTTGATATTGTTGACATTGTTTCTGATGTAGGCATACTAATCCCTGTGTTGACAACAAATCCTAATTGACTGGCATAACGTAACATTGCATCATTTACAAAACCTGATAATTTTGTGGCAAATGAATCACGTAAATTTCTCAATTCTTGCATACGTTCATCTACAGCTTGAAGATGTTCTTCACCTGAACGTCAATAATAAAGATGGGAATGTTACATGACTCTAGATACATAAGTCATAATAGTGAATGCAATGAGTGAATATAAACTAAGTAACGATTATCAAAAACTCTTGATTTCGATACCTAACTTATGAAACGGCATAAAAACTTATTCTACGTAACAATCGACGGTCGGTTATAAATAATATTGAAGATTCCCATTGTGAAAATAGAACAAAACATATAAGTGAACAATATTGTTTTTAATAAGATTGTCATTAAGCTTTACCAGAATATAAATGAACATTTATATGAAAATATCAAACGAATCAAGGGAATTTATGAGTCAATGATCACAGTGATGTAGATTACGCAACAACACTTAGAAGATATGCATGTAATCTGAAATGGGCCAGATAAAGACGATATATCGCTCTATTTCGGCACATCTGTTTAACAGAAGTTATATAATTGATTTATCACATACTTTTGTCATTACCCAATTGGTTTCGACATTATCTCCTATATACACCAAAAGACAGTTGGTTGGATATGACTTAAGATTTTATTGATTTTTTCCATATCATGTATTTGTTTGACATTCTTTAAATCTCTACTTGTTTATATACTCATGCATCTAATGAATTACGTATCGAATGTCATTTACTTACGCCTGTTACTCCCAATAGAGCATAGGCCATCGACCAGCATTCTCCAACCCACTCTGTCCTCGGCCTTCCTTTCCAGTTCTATCCAATTGTTCTTCACTCTTTTCATGTCTTTCTCCAATTCTCGGCATAATGTGCTCTTTGCTATTCCGCTTCTCATTTGGCACTGAGGATTCCCATGTGAGGGCTTGTCTTGTGACACAGTTCAGTGCTTTCCTCAATGTGTGTCCTATCCACTTGCAGAGCTTCTTCATTTCGTCCTCCACTGGGATCTGATTTGTTTTCTCCCATAGTAGGTTGTTGATGATAGTGTCTGACCAACGGATCCGAAGTATTCTGCGTAGACATCTGCTAATAAATACTTGTATCTTCTGGATCATGGCTTTCGTAGGTCTCCAGGTTTCCGCCCCCCATACAGTAAAACTGTCTTGACATTTGTATTGACTTGGGTGTTGATTGACAATTGTTTTGAGTTCCAGATGTTTTTCAGTTGTAAATATGCTGCTCTTGCTTTGCTGATCCGCGCTTTCACATCTGCATCAGATCCACCGTGCTCATCAATGATGCTGCCCAAATATGTAAAGGTTTTTACATCCTCTAAAGTTTGTCCGTTAAGTTTGATTCAATTGGTGCATGCTGTGTTGTATCGGAAAATCTTGCTTTTCCCTTTGTGTATATTGAGACCTACTGCTGTTGAGACTGTTACTACACTGGTCGTCTTCTCCTGCATTTTATGTTACGTGTGCGATAGAAAAGCCAGATCATCTGCGAAGTCTAGATCATCCAGCTGCATCCTAGCTGTCCACACATTGAATGTTACATAATTACAATGTTTTCTAATTATTATATTAAAGTCTATTTATCTATGTTTGACCTAATTCCTATGTTGAACTAATGAATAGAACTTTTGTTATTTTATTATTATTATCACTACCATTAGTACAATTGTCTTTTTCCTATAATTTTTTTTACTTTTCACGTATGATGTGTAGTTATGCAATTGTGACTATGGTCTCATAAATTCCCTTGATTAGTTTAATAATCTCATGTAAATATTTGGGTAAAGCCTGATGATGATCCAATTAAAAACAATATTGTTCATTTAAATGCATTGCTCAAACAATATTGATGACGAGAATTATGAAGATTTTAATAAAAGTAGTTGACACATCCTAACATGGCTTAATTCAACATTCAATGAGTTCATCATATACCATGACTTGATTTAGTTGCTTTTAACTTTCTGTTATATTAAATGAAAATATACTCATATTAAAAACTGATTAAATTTGTAAATTTAAACGGCTTATTAATAACAATCTGAACTCTATGAAGTTAATCCTGTGGAATAATCAGTCAGTCAGCTGCAACGTAGGACCAAGCACCTATATGTATCGGTCCAAGTCGCCATACCTCATTAGCACAACAAGATGAACACCGAATTCATAGAAGCAATTAACTCAATGGTATAATATGTAAAGGAAAGATTGAATATAAGAAGATAGTACAGGAAGAAAGAATTCGTTCGGGGAAAAAAAGATTTGAAGTGATTTTAATCTCTTAGTTTAAAGGAAGACAAAGAGTGTATACACCTACGCCATTGTGATTGATTCTGAGTCATGTCACCCACAGTCTCTAACCATTGATTACGATAGTCACGTGGACCCCAACTAAGTAGTCTGCATCTACCAACATGGCTCAGACTAGAAGTTAGTGACTTGAAGCACTGATGCCACGTTTTGGTTTGGTCGCCCCTAACTTTCTTCCAATTATCGCTAACACCGGTTAGCATTGCGCGTCGTGGTAATCGGTGTTCAGGCATACGCAACACGTAGCCCAACTATCTCAGTCGATGAAGATTCATAACCTCATCAACTGATTTACCATCATTCCCTAATACACTACGTCTAACCTCACTATAACTTACCCGATGATCCCAGCAGATACCAGCAATATTTCTAAGACATCTGTGGTCAAATACTTGTAACTTATGAGTATCTTCTACTTTTGAAGGCCATGTTTCGCAGCCGTATAGTAGAACGGAACGAACTGCCGCGCAGTATACTGTGGAATAATACAATAGGATGTACACATTTACGAGTAATTTTCCAAGCTAATATGAAACAACTGTCAAGTGTCTTTATCAGTTGGTTGCTTTAACTATTCCACAGATAAAATGAGTTTGTAATGAGATAACCATTACCATGTAAATAAGTTGTCGATAATGTACACTAATAAAGAAGATACATGAAATTATGAACGTAATATAAATAACTCCTGTTTATTTTTACATGATCACATGATCAATAATCTAACCTTCATTTCTTTGTATCATAAAATGGATTATCTTCTCAACGAAAGTTGTGCACATGGAATTACAATAGAATAATGATTAAAAAAAGAGATATAAATTATATTGGTAATCGATAATGTGAGTACTTTCTCAGTGCTTAAATCATATAGATTTATTATGTATGACTATTATTATTATTATTTTAACACATAGATATTGGTACAAAGAGGTACCAAATACATATGCGCTACACAGACCTCATTTGATATGTGTAAGGGCTGTGATACTACCCGGGTGCCCGAACCGAAGCAGGTATGTATAACTAATAGATATATTATACAACTTACACTTATTTACCTAGTTATAAATCAAATGATTAAATTATGTAACGGCTAGTGATATCTTTAACTGGATGACTGAAATGCTAGAAATGGATTGATTCTATAGACTTGAGAAACTGATGGTGTGAATTTTTAAGTTGGTAACTATTACACTTAAATTATACAATTTCTAATCGGTTATTGCCTGATGAAGCTTCAATGCAAGTACAAATAGCGCAAGCTGACAGATGCAGATTAGGTGGATCCATAAAAAAAAAATCAAATGGATCACATACTAAACCTCCGAAACGAATAAAGTGATCAACCCAATATATTGCATTCAGACAGATAGAAATGCAATTTAAAAAAAGACTCTTTCGTTCTCACTCAGTATTTAACAAACTCCGGATTCTCTCTCTCTTTATTAAAACTGGATAGTAATATTTACAGACAATAAGTCAATTAATAAATTCTTCAATTATGAGATTAGTCTGTGAAGCATTTCGAAGTTTATGACCCAATCACTACGTGTAGTTAGTATTCTGTTTGGTCATACAGACAAAATGACAAAACAATCGATAGGAGCATTATTACACAAACCTTCTTTAAATTCTGAATTCAGCAAACGATCCAAATATCCAGCAGCTTCGATACAACGTGCAATACCATCAGATGTACTTAAATCACCTTTCGCTAATATATGGAAGTATTTTGGATCAACATCTAACCGATCGACTAGTTGTTCAAGTACATTTAATAAATTTGCGCGATTATCTACTGTCGTTTGGATTAATTGATCATGATCACGTAGGGTAGACATTGCATCTTCAACTTCCTATATGTGAATGGAATATCATTGATTGAAGAAAAATATTATCCATCAAAATGGGTATGATAATAATGATAACTATCATAATTATCACAATTGTTATCATCATAGCAGTACATAATTACTTACTCCCTTCACCGTTTAAGGAGCATAGGTCGCCGACCAGTACTCTTTAATCTACAATAAACTCAGCTCTCCTTTCCAGTTTTTTACAAGCGTTGTTTATCTTTTTGATATCTGCCCCCATTTCTCAGTGTAATGTGTTCATTGGTAGGTCTCTCTTCCTTTTGCATTCACAATTTTAGGTTGAGGATTGACTCTATGCAGTTTGATAATTGCCGAAGGGTGTCCTATTTACCTCCCGAGTCCTTTCTTAATTTCCTCAACAACTGAAAGCTGCTTTGTTCTCTCACGCAGTAAGTTTTTACTGATGTCCGGTCAACAACCGATTTGTAGTATTTTCAGTATATTCAGATATCTGCTCCGTATAGCACATCTATCTTGATGTTTATATTGAACATTCTCACTTTGATGTTGAGTGAGAGTTGTTTGAAGTCCCATATGTTCTTGAATTGTAAAAATGCTGGTCTTGTTTTGCCAATCTGTGTCTTCACGTATGCATCAGATCCCTATTAGTTAGTAATGGTGGTACTCAAAACTATCCATCTCTTCCAGAGCTTCTCCATCGTACACTGGGGTGTACATGTATCCAGTTGATAAGCCCCAAATGGACACATCCTGGATTCTACCACTAGACACCATCCAAATTTAGTAAAAATTTTACATTAGGTTTTCTGCCGAACATCCCCGAGCAGATAAACAACAAAGAGTATCATGAGTTCTTGTCATTTAAATAATTGACCATATTAGAATTCGATCGACAAAACTGGTTTACTACTAAATAATCAAAGAGTAAATCTGTAAACCTGTAAACTTTGGAAGTCACTTTGGAGGGTAAGGTGGTTTTTAGCCCAACATACAAAGTACTAGTTCTCTTGAGATTAGAAAGACACATGAATGTTGACTGGAACAAAAGGTAAGAGCTCAAGTCATTCTGTTGATTGCTATCAACCACCCAACATTAACTTTGACTTGAAAAAGTGAAATACACGTGGAACACTGTTAAACATAAGCTTTTACAGGGTTTAGCAGTCAATATGCGTTTTCTACCACATATATTAAACTGGAATCAGATTCGCTGTTTATTTGTTAAAACGGAAATTTAATTAAACACAAGCTTAACAACACTACAGAAAAAGTGAATATATATCTAGAGTAAAGTGATTTCAATTATTTTGGAACTCCTTTAATTAATTTCATCCCCTTGTGCTTATGTAGTACTCTAGATTACTTATGACTAACTGACAGTCTACTGAAGTAGAGTGACCACATATACTAAACAACAAAGTTACATATGAATGAGTTGCATGATCATAAAGAGCCTATTATAGAAGTCAGACTGTTGCGACACTAAAATTAACTAAAATTTACTGCGCTGAAATACTATAGGAACCAATCGGTTATAGTTAACAGTGGTCGACATGACAGGCGCTGAGATATTACATGGTGGCGTAAGGAATGTTTAAGTTACTAAACCCCATTCTAAGACTTAAAAAATGTACGAAATCGATATGAAACAGTTACAAAATGTAACTTTTGCACGTATAGTAACAATAGTATCCTGCTTTTATGAATCAAATTACGTATAATGAATTTGAAAGGTGTATACAGAAAGATATGGGAAAACAATATAGAATGGCATTATTACCGAATATGTATATTAATCGGAAGTGGGAGGTAAGAGATAAATTTATCTTTTCGCTATATAAACATTTTCTTTAGAAAACTGTTGTTCTGGTACTCCAATTCACTTGACTTCAGCTACTTTGCACAAATATAGTGAAAAAGTTATTATAGTAGACTTTCACAATGAGCTAATGATTTCATAGATGGATAAATGAATCCAACTTAATTATTTAGAAAAACCATTATACTTGTTAGTGCATAAGTTTTGTTGAGATTAGTTCAGTTTGTAAGTATTAATGGTCATGTATTGACATAATAAAAAATCTCAAATTAGGACGAAACAGATGTTTAGAGCTCCCTAGTTCTCAGTAGTACCCTCAAAGGATGTTAAATTGTGATGAGTACCACTTACAAATTATCCCATTTTTAGGTTAGACAAATGATTGATTTAACACAAGCGTAAAACATACCTATTTAACTAAGTCGCTATCAGTTAGTCAGCAACAACGTAGAACTTCGTGCGTACATACATCAGTCCGAGTTGCCATACCACATTAGCACAAAGATACAATTGTCGATTCAAATCCCATAGTCGTATAGGTAGTAAAAGTATAAGCAGTAATTAGAAACATTAGGGTTTGAAGATGTTATTTAAGGCGTATAATCCAGTGAAATCAATTTGGAAAGAGAAAAAAATAAAAGGACATGAAGAATTCAGAAGATTAGAATTTGGGAGAACACAAAGAGTAGATGCACCTGCGTCATTGCAAACGATTTAGGGCCATGTCATTCAAGGTCTCTAACACCATCAGTTGCTACCGTCTCGCGAATCCCACCCAACCAGGTAGTCTACACCTACCAGACTAAGTCGATATACTAATTTGGTGTAACGACTTAAGACAATGTACATTAGTACATATTGATTATGAATGATTGACCTCATCAAGAGTTCATACAGGATAAAATTGATCATATCAATACATACAAAACAACACTTAAAAATATACATGGAAAAGAAAACAATTTTAATTTATCATTAAGAAATATTAATAACTAACCTCTAAAAAACTATAATAAATATTTAATTGTTTCTCTAATAATTCAGCTCGTTCAATAGCACTGTCCAATGTTGTCATAAGACTTAATACTTGAGATTCAGAAGACATAATTGAATGAACATTTGTCTATTGGAAATGAAAACATAAGAACAGCATAAACAGTGTATGAACAAATGAACAGTTCAGTTATAAATAATAACAACTAGACAATTGAACCCTTATTATTACCTATAATACTAATAATAATACCAGCAGAGATAGATGATGGCTAGCAGTGGAAACTAAGACACTCGTTTTTACCTATTTGGAACTTGTCGATTCTATGTATTTACATTCAAGAGTTTATATCTACTCAGCAATTCGAACCCAGTAACATCTGCACCCAACACCATTGCGATATTCACTTATCTACTAAGTCCACATATCCACGACCTTGTCTAGTAGGGTGAATTTTTATGGGATGTAGATACATCCAGATAATGAGTCCTAAATGAAACGGAACGCATGTTATCGATTCCACTGTGAACCACCATCCAACTATGCTCAAAAACACTTGCAATTTGATCGCAATATCGAAGCAATTTGCGCAGGATGCACATAAGCTAAAAGAGACCGAATTATTACAGTCCTAAATACAAATGGGAAGATTTAAACAATCAATACCAATGAGTTTTTATTGGTATTATTTATTATTGGTAAAAATCACAAATGAGTCTATCTGGCTTTTACTATGTGTAATTGATCTCATCAATCAATTTAAAAACTAACGACGTTACATAAAACCAGACCAAATACCATCTATATAAATTTTGTGAGAAACACTATACATACACACTACTGAGATAGCCAAAATACAATCGTCAATTGACGTCAGATTGTACCGCGAACTAGATTAACTTCATAACAATCTACTAGTAAATAAATTATCCATAGAAATAAAAACGGGGAAGTCCAGAGACCAAACATAAATCATCTTACACCTTCAATGTGAGCCAACTGTTCTTGTAAACGTTCCGTTAGTTGAGCAGCATTTAAGAGGGTTGATTCCTCATCAAGTTCATCTAGAAATTGTCGTATATCATCTTCTTCACGTTTTGTCAATGAACGGTATGAATCAGTGACCGGTGCATCTGACTTATCTTTATCAGCTGACTTTTCATCACCGCCAACACTATCTTCATCGCCACCGGTACCAACCGTTGACATATATTCAGGATCTAACCAAAATATTTTAGCCACAGGGAAAAGAAAAGAATAATTCGTTGAAGTGTTAATTCTAAAACAATTTCTTAGTTTACATTATGGGTAAGGATTGAAAATTAGGAAATATTGGGCAGTCATTTCATTCTAGTATGAGTCGTCCACGACCATAACAGAGATGAGCACTGCTGAAATTTACCATAACGGGACGAAACAGTTATCCAATCCTTCTTGAATATTTAACTAGGGGTTAACTCGTGATACAAAGCTCCTATACTAATGATATATCCACTAAATTTAAAATTTCTTTTTTGTAAGATAGTAGATAATTTGTAAGCAAGATGGTATGTCTTAAGCAAAAATGGATGGTGGTTAGCAGTAGAATCAAGGATGCACGTTTTGCCCAGTTTGAGACTCATCAACAGGAATTGACAGCATCTTGGAATTGATGTTCACTTCAGGACTCGAACCCAGCACCGGTAGTATGTTACTCCAGTAACTTAGAATCTTATCAATTGTTGAGATTAAACTATAAAATTCTTTAAATTTCAAGCATCATTCTAAAGCCTATCTCTAATACATGAGAGAACAACTGAGATACACATCCTTCTCATCACAATAACTCCATCTAACTACGAGCTGAATTAGTCTTGACAACGTTTTGTCGACTGCATCTCATTATATATGTATTTCTAACAAACACAGATAGGTAATTGTTAGAAATGAGGGAAGGACTGAAAATGAAAAACTAAGGAGAGCTATTTTTCGGAAAATCTATAAGAACATTTTCTATATGTAACCACTAAAAATACGATTAATAAAATTTTGACACTAGCTAAATTGAAAGCTTTCATTTGAACCATTAACTGCTTTGATATCTCTTGCTGTCCTAAATTACAGTCGATTAATTGAAAACCTATCATTCGGCTTTACATCATAAAACCCTTGATGATGTACATAATGAGGATTATTATCAATGGTACTTCGTGGTCTTGAATTTTACCTTTAAAATTTTGTCAGTCTGAGTATAAATAAAACAAACAAGACCAAAAATCTGGTAGGTTTTCTAGTGTTCTGACAGATCCCGACCGTAGCTGCTACCTTGACGTGGTGGTCGGGCTTGCCTATCGTGATGACCCAACCGAGCTATATTGGCTGGAACACATGTTCCTGCAGGTTCTACCATGCCAGGCAGGTCGATTGGAGAACGGTAAGACTAAAAGCAGCAACTCAAGGTCTCAGGGCGAAGTCGTACTGCTGACTGTACAGAGGTGTGACAGCAGTAAGGTGTTTCCCTCGGACAACCAGCATCTGCAGCGATGCTGCCTTCTCACAAGGAAGGAAGGGGTTAGAAAAGGTTGACCCTAAAAATGTCACACCTCACCTTACCCCACGGATTTCCGTCTCCGGCGGTAAGGCCCTTTGAAGAACGGAGCTAACACATTAAAAACAGTTTTACGATAAATAGAAACCATAAAAGTTAATTCGTTCTGCTTACTAAGCAAAGCATCCAGTGTTTCATGTTGGCTAAGTGGAGAAATATTTATATCTTGTGGGAAATTGACTAATTCTATATCTTTGATCACATGTGGTAGAAGTGTTGCAAGCGTACGACAAAATGAACTGACAAAATGTCTTTTTTCTTCTAATTTCAAAGCATTAAATACCCATATCTGAATTAATGGAAATATAGGGAAAATATGGGAAAATGAATGAAGTCTAGAACAAATGAACATGATAATTTATGTCCACAAAATGACACGAAGGTAAAAATTGTTACTTGAAAATATAACTTAATGCACAAACGTATTAATAACGCAGATATGAGTCAGCTTCTAGATAGTAGGTAATTCAACTAGACTAAATAGATTATTCTAGTTGTATGACAAAATCCAGTGCATAATCTACAGTATGTAAAATAAAAAAATGTTACTGATACCAATATAAAATTACTGATATGGTCAAACGCACAAAAACCATTACACAATATGGCATTCAATAGTGCCTGAATAACTCCGTGTACTGATGAAAGAAAAAATCATGCATAAATGAAACTTGGACATGTATAAGGGTCTTACTGATAGCGTAATCTCATAAGGAGTACCATTTCATTGCTAAAATTACGCATAAAACCCGGGTTGGTTGCAAATATGGAGGGTAAGAAACTCATCCCAAACATCCTAGCATTGTTGCTCAGTGCTACCAAGACTGCATTTAATCAGCGTCTTCACCAAACAGTACTATGTCATCTGCGTATTCTGAGTCGATAAGTGAACCTCCCAGGAGGAGATAAATGGCTGAAAATTCAGTCGACGAGAACGTTATTTCCAGTAGTAAGCCTATGATGAGGTTGAACAAAAATAGAGATAGTGGAAAGTCTTGTCGGACACCACTTGAAGTTAAAAAATCAGATGACAGTTCACCATAAGCTCTTACTCGACCGGTTGTGTTCGAAGGGAGAGTTTTCACAAGGTTTATGTACTTCTGAGGTACACATCCCAACGGCAGGCAATGCCATAGAATCTCGTGGTCTACGGGAGGCACCAAATTATTTTATTTTAACACATAGATATTGGTACAAGGAGGCACCAAATACATATGCGCCACACGGATCTCTATTGATTTGTGAGAGGGCTGTGATACTGCTCGGGTGCCCAAACCGAACCACGTGGTTTTCTTAGGGGGCCACACCCCGAGCCTTCGACCTGAACGTCTGACCCACAAGGCAGTGGAGCATCGTGAGATGCATTCCCATGGTAGACGGTGACCAACGACTGGTTCATACGCCATTTGTTCCTTCAGGATACTGGAGCCGATGGGCACCGTTGGTTTGGGGTTCGGTTAAAGCGCCGGACATTCGCTTTTCGTCCTCTCATTTTCGTAAACAACACCCCCGCCACGAGAAGGCAGTGAGTCAATGTTGCTTTTAAGTCAAGAAAGACCACCATTGTCGGACGCCGATAAGTATACCTGTGTTCTAGAACCTGAAGAATGGTGAATATCTGGTCGATGCAGCCACGACCAGGTCTAAAGCCAGTGTGATTTTTTCGTGTTTGAGGTTCATGAGTCTTGGTTAAGCGTCCGATAATTATTGAGGCCAGTATTTTAGATGCTATATAAGTCAAACTAATCCCTTTATGGTTTCCAAAGGATGATTTTGACTCTTTCTTATAGATTGGGACAATCAGTGATTGTGACCAGTCAAATTGGATTGCGTCCAACTCCCAGATTTTAATCAACCTAATCGCCAAAACTAGACCATCACACTTAAAGACCTCTGGAGTCAATACATTTTCCCTTTATCGTTTCAGATCAGCTATAGCTTTTTGAACGTCAGACAGAGTCAGGGGACCTAGTTCAATGTTCCATTCACGCTTTCTGGGAATGGTGGGTAGTTGTAGAGTAGCTGAGGACCAGCTGGACTGCTCCTTAAAGTTTCGCCTATCGTTCTAAACGTCTGGGCTGAGAGCAGATAAGTGTCATCCTAGCCCGAGACTGTCTCCCTTAAACTTCTTAATTTGTTTCTTTAATTAAACTGAAGAGCTGCTTGGTGTTACCTACAGCTTTTGTTGCTTTTGTTGCCCACTACTGCTTTCGCTCTTCATCGTGTTCAGAGCCTGATGGGATAAGTTTACGAGAATCTATCAGTGCAATAGACCTTGAAGAAATCCATTGGTTCTTTGCAACCCTGTGGTTTAAATCACTAATAGATGTCGCTGTTGTTTCCAGAGGTGTGAATACCGGAATATATGTCAAGAGACCATAGCTGGATGCTGCACCACCTTGAAAAGATAGCATGAAACAACCGTACGTGACCAATGTCACGCAAAAACTATGAGATCAGATCTGATCAAAGTAGAGATGTTCGTCTGTCAGGTCAAATCCTTTGGTATCGTTAAGAAATCTCAACCGCACCACGGATATCAACCATAAGACCAGTACATGTTACTAAGGAAGCTGATTGATCAACAATCTCAGACCTAGTCATTGGGTTCTGATAGGTTACATCCACGGTTGCTATCATCCCTCGGATACGATACTTCAAAACAACCCAAGATGCTGTGCAACATGTCCGTCTGCCAAACTCAACTCCCCAGTGATTAAAAGAACTTCACAGTTATAACTATATATATATATATATATATATATATATATATATATATCGTGCCTAACAAAATTTGAGTTTAACCACGATAGTAGTTAAGTAATTTGAGAAATGATTTGGGCTGTTGCTTACTAAGTCACGTAGAAACATATAATCTGTTAACTCCCGAGGAACACGGGTTACAGATTAGAGCAGTAATGCTCACCTAGCTTACTAATTGAGAGAGACGATTGGACAGCAGCCCACGATAAGGGTTTGTCTTTCGATGTGATATTCATCGATTTTAGCATAGCATTTAATAAGATGTTATTAAGGCCTAAAAAGAAACTCTACCTTTGGGATTACAGGTGCCAAAAAAGTGTGCTTAAGAAATTCCTTCTGTGATCGAAGATAGATGAAGGTATATTGGACGCTATCCCAATGTAAAGTGATGTGTCCTAATGTACCATTTGAGACTCCCATTTCTTTATATATCTAGATCATTGAATTACCGAGATTGCTTAAGTACTTCATACTGTTGTTTTCAGATGGTGTTGGAACCCGTAGAAGCTGGATCTTCACGAGAGAGCAAGCTGAAGAAATTAGCACAGGCCGATTGTATACATAGTGAGTTTCTACGTATGACCAGAATATGTCAAAAGAAACCTTACGGTTATTTCCAGAATGAGAAAGTCACGTTACGAAGACTAACCTTATTTTCTGTGATGATTTGTAATTCATAGCTAGGTTGAGTTTTTGTATCTCTGCAGTCAATTTTTTTCAGATTTTTCGCGTTGCATACTTGCACTTTTTTAATTTCACTTTTATCTGTAATCTTGACAAGATAGACCTGAATACTCGTAGGTTTCGTTAGTGAAACTAAGATATTGTTAATGATCTGCACTAATTACTTGTAAAAACTAAATGTTTCCGTTTGTGCTTGCTTTGGTGTCCAGATATAACACCAATCGACAAGCCAACACGTTCGTTTATGGGATAAAATAATCGTGAGAGTTGATTGGAGTGATTTTCAGACATTGTAGCCGATAAATTCGTGCCAAACAAACTAAGATGTAGCGGTTCGCGTCTAGCCGGATGGTACTTGTGAACTAGGGGAACACTCGTTGCGTCGAAAGCGCAGAAGGCTGGAAAATGAAAGGCGAATGGATGGTCCAGCAAGTGCACACCATGCACTTACACTTATTAACAAATGCAATCCAAAGAAACCAGAAGAATACAGTTCAACGCGATACACTATTAACCAGTTTCGCGCTACGACATATGAAACAAATTTCCGCAAATTTATCAACAAATTCAAACAAATAAGTATTGTCTGATATAATTCATATGCCTTTTTGAATATACTGAATGTCTAAAATTGATGTATTAAGAATCGAAATGAATGACTATGTTCAAGTTGTAACGCAATTTCATCATCATAAAAACTCAAAGATGATTGGCTAATTAAATTGTTTGACCTGCCTATGTTAGATTGATTGCAATGAACTAGTTAGGCTTATTCGTATGCATTAAGCCTTCCCTATCTAGTCTATATAGACTTGTATTGCTATCATAGCTAATCTAAGCTCCCTTTGTTGTTGTTGTTTTGACTGGTAAGCATAGTTTGCTATCAATTCCATTGTATCTTATGCGTTTATATTTGCTTTTATACAATGGAGTATTTGATTTCGAATTGAAATTTTTTTCCAGATACATTGGGAATATTAAATCATGAATAAAACTAAAGATAAGAATAAACCTAAAGGTCCTATGTCTGCTTATGCTTGTTTTGTACAAGTTATTCGAGAAGAGCATAAAAAGAAGCATCCTGGTGAACAAATTGTATTCAGTGATTTTTCAAAAAAATGCGCAGAACGATGGAAGGTTAGTAGTCTTTTTATTTCTTCTTAAATCTTCAACTTTAATCTTACAGTTAATGACGCCAAAAGAAAAGAAACGATTCGAAGATTTAGCTGTTTTGGATAGAGAACGATTCAATCGTGAAATGTGTGATTACGTGCCACCAGATGGTATGAAAAAAGGGAAGAAACGCAAAGGTCCTAAGGATCCTACAGTACCTGCACGAGCCTGGTCTGCTTTCTTTTTCTTTTGTGATGAATTCCGTTCAAAAGTCAGAGAAAGCAATCCAGATTGGAAAGTTGCAGATATTGCTAAAGAACTTGGACGTCAATGGGAAACTTGTCAAGATAAAGCAAAGTATGAACTATTAGCTCAAAAAGATAAACAGCGTTATGAAGAGGTAAATGATTCACTTTGGTTCATAAGTTTTTTTTCTAATTCCTCTGAGTTTAAGCCGGTATTGTATCTGTAAAATATTGCTTTCGTTTCAGGACATGATAAAATATCGGGCGGGAACTTATGTTCCTAGAGAGAAGAAACTTGCAGGTGCTGTGTCAAACTCTACATCTATCAGGACTTCTGAAGCTCAGAATGCAGATTGTACTACAGTTACCAGTGCTGGAGGTGATGAAAATGGTGCGGAGTTAGAAGATGAAGATGACGGCGAACCTGATGAGGGTGAGGAAGAGTGAAGATCAGAACATTAGGTTTTTGCTAACTCAGTTGTACAGGTTTATTGCATTTATAATGTTCTAATCCCCTTCCAATTCTTACCTAAACTTTGTATACATTGGTTTTATTGTTATTTTTGTATCATTCATAAATTGAATGTACATCATTCATACTTTGACTTTCGTTTATTGTGTGATGTAAGATTCTGATAAACATATATATTATTGTTCATTATTGAGTGTTACTGTATTGTAATCTATAATAGTACAGTTATATTCACCAGCTCGACTTTTCAACGTTTGAAATAAGGAGACGGTATGCTGTAGATTCTTGTTTTTTCTTGGACTGCCGGAGACGTGTGGGTCCTTTTCTAGGGTGTCTAGTCTTGAATAAGTCGATCAGAAACCCGGACCAATTCTATGTTATATCCCGAAAGTTGGCTAATCAATACTGAAACCTATACCTCAGGGGGTCTCTCATTCTTGACTTGTAAGCTCATCTGCTCTGCTGTTATTGCTCTTATTCATATGATTGTAAGAGCGGGTTAAATCAGGCCCAGAACCGTGGTTATTTCGCTAAATAATCTACGATGGAGTAATATGAATAATCCTGACCCCGGACATTTCAGTATATGCGAGTCATAGCATTAAATTTTCCCAAAAGATCTGAACCACTTGGTTTTATGTTAACGTGTCACCAAAAAGCCACTTCCTGTGTGATAAATATTCACTGATTACTTTCCTATCAACCAAAAGTCAGTTAATCTTCCCAAATCTCTATGATATAAGAAGAGTGGAAATGCCACTCATAACGGAGAACGAGAAGGCTGTAAGTATGAATGGTAATATTGTCTGGACTTTAATTAGAGTTAAGGAATATTCATCTACGCATGGCTTAGCGGCATTAGCATATCCGAGTTATCAATGAGATGTCACAGCTTGGTAAGTGAATATGTATCTAAAACTATGTAGAAAGATCTGTTTAATCTCCGTTGTTGTTGGGCTGACCTTTCCCACCAACTGAACATGATGCTACCTCTACAATACCAGACAATGGATTAGAATACTAAACAGGAAAAAGTGTTATTTAATTTGATATAGTCTCGCAACGTACTTTCACTAAATCTGGTTAAGGAAAAAAAGCATAGTGTGATCGACTTAACCCAAAGTTTCTTCGTGGAGATCGATGTGTAACTGAAGACTACATGTCACTGTGCTAGGTATGCTAACATTTAAATTTTATGCCGAGATGTACAAAGCCTTCAAACTGATCTGGGACTTAGTCATTACAATTAAGTATGTTTCGACTTATACTAGATGCGAAAGTAAGAGTACAAGATTCCAAAATGCTTCTCTCTTACAATATCTCGAAAGTCAAGTTACGATTTTAAGAAGGATATGCACGATGATAAATACATGTTAACCACACTATTAATAAAATCCACACTGGAATAATGAGGGAGTTTTAAACCCTTTTTCGCGAACGAACTCGGGTCTTCTGCAGAGTTCAGTGAACCACTACACTTGAGATTTCGAGGTGGTTCACCCAATACACATAGGATGACTCGGAAAATTCTTCATAACACTATCTTAGACAAATCAATTCAAAAACTAGGGGATTTCTCATCTTGCATCCTTGGTGATTTCATTTTATAATCAGATCTAGTATAGCGTTACCTTCTATATAGATTATTTCGTCCATTACGTAATATCACCTTGAATATTTAATGTGGTAATATTGTTATTGTCTATCACTATATTAACTGATGTTCATTCCATTCAATAGTTACTCAATTATATTAGACCTACACATTAATTCAAGTAATCAGTACATACAAGTGATTTCATCATCTGGTAATCTTAAACTTATTTTGCTTACAATTTTAAATTTGGAGTTTGACATCTAAAATTAATTCAGTCTACAGTGATCTTGAGTGCTGTTAGAGGAATGAGGGCAGTTATAACTTCCCGGTTGTCCACACCGTGGAAGGGTTCTTCTAGAGGTACCTGAAAAGGAAATTGGATTAAAGGTGGTCATAGTGACCTGAAAGAGTGACCGCAGTGCCCAAGGGACAGCTGCTTGAGGTCGGTCACACACGACCTTTTTATGAGTAATTTTTGTGTTAGTTCCGTACTTGTTGAGACCTTACCGCCGGAGACGGATATCCGTGGGATAAGGCGAGATGTGCACTTTAAGGGTCGACCTTTTCTAACACCACCCCTCCTTTTGGGAAGGCAGCATCGCTGTTATGCTGGTTGTCCGAAGGAAACACCTTACTGCTGTCACACCTTTGTACAGTCAGCAGCACGCCTTCGGACCTTGGATTGGTTGCTTTTAATATTACCGCTTTTCAACCAGCCTGTCTGGCATGGTAGGGCCTTGAGGAGCGATTGTTCTAGCCAGTATAGCTCAGTTGCTTCATCACGATAGGCAAGCCCGACCTCCATGTCAAGGTAATCGCAACGGTCATATCTAAAATCAATTGGTTTGTCTGCATAGAATATAGTTTAGTCTGAGGATATTACTAATATGATCTACAAAATGTCTTAACAATATAAAACTCCAGAATAGCCATTTCATTCTAATATAAAATTCCTCATCAGTAATCCATGAGATCGAGATCAAAAGCTATCATTTCTCGAAACAACTGCTTAATTGTTTAGTTATTTAGTTTGGAAATACCGTAATTCTAACCTTCAAGTTCACACGATGATGATTGTGCAGTTGCTCAGTTGGACATTAGTGAATTAACCTTTGAAATTTTAATTATTGTGCATACGCAGTTTGTGTGCAACAACATTGTTTTAGAATATTCCATGTCTCTTTTTAAGTTGCTAACTCTGTTCATGAGGATTTTGAATTCGGTTTGCTGGCTGTGTGTTTTCGCTATAGAGTCCTTCTTATTTTACAGTGCTGTCTTTCTTAATAGCTCGATAAGTTTGTCTGATTTATCGCTCTTAAACCTAAATATCATTCGTTTACACAACACAAACAAAAGAGTCAGAAATTATGGGAGTTATCTCCAGCAATAACTTGTATGATAATAATAACTGTTTAAAATCATCAAAATTTGACTGGTTAGATTGAATTTTGACTTAACTCTTTACCTCAATATGATGGATCCTATTGTACCTATACATTACTGATGAGTACTCGAATGGAATAGAACATTCGTCTAATGATTCGTTCAACAATAAACTTTTCTGTAAAACAAATGATATAATTATGAGTAACCCTTTTTGGGAACAATTTTTGAAGATAAATTTGTCACAAATCTGGAGAAAAACAAATTTTTACTGTTATAACTTATAGGTTTGTGCCCCTATCAATGTATAACGTAATGATACCGCCAATTAGAGAACAGCGAGTTATCGACCGAACCAATGATGCATAAAACCTGTACGAGCAATCTAGAGTCCTTAGCCATCCTGCTTATCACTTAGTCCTGTCTTTTAAGTCCAGAACACCAATCTCAGCCTCTGAGATACGAGTCATCTATTTCAAGC